AGCCACCATTGGAGCCATCTAGAGCTTGGGGAAGATCGAAGTGATTCAACGTCACATAAGGCTCGATTCCTAGTCAAGAGTTGGACAAAGTTAAATCTACCAGAAGAAGAGCACTACTTTGGACGCTTACCTGCGCTCAAAAGCTCGTCAATCAACGCGTTGTAGTATGCCTGGCCCTCGACGTTCACGGAACCATCTGGTAGAAGCAACGTAAGGACTTTTAACTCCAACGAAATGGAAATCCCACTCACCGATAAAGAAGCGGCTCCAGCTTATGGAAAACCTGTAAGCGTCCATTCCCATGTTTTTAATCAGCCCCACGTCTTCCTGGCAGCTCAAAACAAGAAGAAAAAAAAATCCATTAGACTCTACAGAGCTCTCAAATCCTCGCTCGAACCATACCCGAAATCGGTGATATTGATCATTCGCTAAGTCGCCAGTGGTACCATCCTGAATCTTTCCTGGGAAGAACAAAGGGGATTGTGTTTCATCAAAATGTTTGCGAGGAAACGAAGAGAGATTGATCATACCTTGGGTATGAGAAAATGTGTCCCAAATGCTGGGTTGTCGCCCTCCCTCCGCGGCAGCGCCTTCATACTAGAGACGAAAACGAAAGAAAAAATCCCCAAAATCTAAGAACTTGGAGAGAAAGACAAGAGACAAGAATCAAATCTCACCTGATACGCCGACGACGAGACTCCAAACACGAATCCCTGCGGGAAATCGCACCTCCCGAGGCGTTCTTGTGACGAAATCCCATCTTGCAACAAAATCCCGTCGCTCACACGCAGCAGCGGCGCGACGCGAGCTCCATCGCTCAAAGATCCATCGCCAAAAATCAAGAAGCCGCAGACAAGAAGCCGCGCAAGAATCGATCCAATGCTCCTCATCTCTCTTGATTCTTTCCTCCCCGACCTTCGTCCTCGCTGCCTTCCCCCCCTCCCCCCCTTTTTCTTCTTTGCCAAGAAGCCGCTCAAAATCGACCAGTCAAATGCGACCTCTTCTAACTCGAATTCTAACCCAAACTGTCGGCGGACAGCGATTCCTGGTCAGAGCTAGGACGAGGGCGATTCTCCTCGGATCGAAGCTCCAGAAATCCTTTCGCGACCACTAGTACGTATGAATGGACCGCCGATCTAACGGCTGACGTGGAAGAACCCTAAAAGAATAAACTCTAAGATTTAAATTTTTGCTTCATGGAGAATCCAGTGGAAGCAAAGACCTCCGTGGAGCATTAAGGGCAGCGTTGACGTACTTGATTATATTAGCTTTAAACCAAAGCATCATGAGACTTGCAAACTACTAAACTAATCACCCATTCCATTGGAACGAGCTCAAGCAAGGGTAGACTATTTCAACGCGATTGCCCACTCGAAATTAAGAACCACCACGGAAAGTAGCCTTTTCGATTTTAACTCGTGGTGGCAGCGGGGTGAGTGTCGTGCTTTGCTCGTCGAAGATACGTGTTCGCAGTCATGGAAGATTCAGAGGAGCTGCGTCCGCCACCTCTTTGGCTTTGGCCTTTCGAAGAAAACGTTGGGATCGCAAGAGCTGTGGCTTACCGTTCTCTGAGATGGAAATTTGTGGCATGACTGCGTTGCTCGAATCTTCTTTGAGATTGTACTTCTTGGCTTCCAGGTCAACCATTGCACACCATGCTCCAAGAACTTTAAGAAAAAGCGTACATACCGGACCAAAAGTAGATCTTGAGTTTACCAAGAACCTTGTTTATGCCAAGTTTATAGTCGAGTCTCCTTTTCGCAGCAGCAGCATCCTCCACCGAGTCCAACGTGAGCACTGAATCCCACCTTGAAAAACCAAATGGTTTAAAGCATTATAGCAACCACAAAAGTTTGATGAACTTGGAATTTTTCCTGCGGGAGATGACAGTTTTCTCCCTGAATCATCGTCCAGATACTTCCATGTCAATCTCAAACTTGGTCGAGAAGAGTTAAGCTAGATACTTAATGTTATGCCACTGTTCTACCAGAGCAGGAAGATCCCTATGCTAGAGCGTTGCGTAAGGCTCGATTCCTAGATCTTTGAAAATCAATCTTGACAAGGATTTAAAATTTTTACCAGCTTGTTCAGGCGAGAGTTGTGGTTGGATTCACCTACAGTGAGTCTAACTCACGTCAGGAAAATCGTCTAGCAGAAGAGCAACTTGAACACAAAAATCTCAATTCTTGTCACAGCTCGACTCGGCCTGAGCTTGGAGTATTGGAAAAGGTTTACTCTTTTCTAATAGAACAGACGACTTAATACTTGGGTCTTTTGTTTTTCATTTTTCATAACTTAAGAGCACACACGAAACAGTACCCGAAAGACTTGCCTTACAAGGTGGTGTCTCTGCAATGCGTGCCAGCAGACAACACGGTGAAAGGCCGAGGTGCGTTCTTGACTTTCCCCTGCTGGTAAATGACGAAAGTCAAAGACAAAACACAGGCAAAAAGGACTGCCTGTTGGCGAGGAAGAAATCAACGCAGTGCCAGAGGACAAGCAGGATGGTTGATATCCCCTCAAGGCAACAGACTTCTTTAAGAGACAAAACGAGGGACGTGATCACGGGAAGGACGAGAAACAAACTTACGGAAAAGTGATCTTCAAAGGTTGAGACTTTAGAGCTCGTTGCTCGGCGTCAGTGCTCCTTTCACCTTCGGGACCGTGTGTGGAGATGAGGATGTTGATGGCGACGATGGAATCCAGCGAGAGCTTTGCCGAGGGCAGGGTGCTGATGAGGATTTGCACAGCCACAGTGAGAAGAGTGCCGGTGGCATCGTTCTGGAGGATGCTGGTGGTCGAGTGCGGCTCCGAGAGGATGATGAAGCCACATCAACGTGAGCGGGATCACCGCCTTGAATCATCATGCTGATCATGATGAGCTCCACCAGGGCGTAGACGATGAGGGAACCGGAAGTGTCAGTGCACTCTCTTGGAGGAAGAGCATCTGGTTCTGCGAGAGAAGAAGAAGCTTACGTCAATCCGGAAGAGAGAGACGTTCCCGGTGGCTTGGCCTTTGGCGATGCGGGCTATTCCACTGTTATCCCACTGTGGAGAACCATGAAGACGTGAGTGAAAGGACAAAGGCTTTGAGAGTCAAGAAGGACGTACCTACGGAGGTGGGCTGGAGCCAACGGGAGCCAGAGCGTGGTGGCAGCGCTGAGAACTAACCCTGCTGCCAGACCCATAATGCTCCAGGAGGAAGAAACCAATTTGCCTCATTCGCTTCCACTGTTGGAGAACTTCTCAAGCCATGGATTCTCCAGAGTCCAGAAGCAAAATTCTGGATGAGATGCATTTGCACAGGAAGAATAACACTCCAATTTCTTTCTTTCCTGCTGGGTGTTTGATTTGAAAGCAAACTCACCACTTGTTTTCAAGGGAGTGGTAAGCTTCTCTCGATTCTCTTGATCTCCTCACTGCTGTCGTCGCTAGGAGCTGGTGTTCCTTCACTCGTCGACTATTCAATTCAAATCACTGGTACGTGAAGTATCTACAAGTAGTACCCGTAACTCAACTCAGTTTCTCACAAGCCAACCAGGTGTACAAAGCTCACTACCACCGCTCGCCATGATCGAGAGATGATCATGAAGATCGGAACAAAAGAGTGTATCCGGGAGCTCTGCGTCGATTCCAGGTCCTGGCACCAGGTCGTGAAGATCACAGCGTGCTGATGGCTCGGCTAACACACGGTGCTCTTGCAGGTCGAAAGAGAAGCGCAAGTGCTACGATCTTTGAAAGCCTGCCCGTTGTTCCCGTCGCTGGTTTACTCCGGCGTCTGGAACAGGAAGCCGGCACTACTTTCAACGCTGGATGGATTGCCTCTCGCCCAATCTCCGCGCTGGACGCGCAGTGGCTGTGCAGGGACTAGACGTACGCTGTGTTTGAGCTTTACGTAAACTTGTGCGACTTTCGGCTATGGTGTTGATGAACTGTGCTGTGCAGGACCATGACTACTTCCAGCCCCATAACATCGGGATCTACACATCGCATCGCACCGAAGGCCACCGCTTCTACTTGTTTGATCTCGGTGTTGCGGTGGAAGCGGTTCCTCGGATGCGAGGAGCTAGAGCTCTGGACTTGGTGTGTGCCTCGCGCGGCAGCCTTGTAGACGGGATGGAAGGCTTGATGACGGAGCTGGTCTCGGTGGCTTACGTTTGCCTCTACGTCGCGAGCGAACGGGAGATGGCCGCCGAGGAGCAGGAGTTGGAATCATGCTATAAGCTGCGGATCGACTTACCCGAGTGCTTGAGCTCGGGGACGAGAGAATGGCTCACTTTGTGTTGAGCCATGACGATGATCTTGTGAGGGAGATTGGTGTCAAGTGTCTCGGTTTCGATCGTCTCGAGACTTGTTTTCGTGGCAATCCCGATGAAGAAACTTATCATCATGAGCTGGGTTTGGGTTAAAAAATCTGTGTCGTATTTGTAGCTTTCCTTGGATGGATCAGTGATCTCATAGAAATATAAGGTAATAGCTTTCGTCCATTCGTACTTCAACAATACAATGGTGGCAGCAAGATCATTTACAATGTTTGTCATGGTTTTGGTACTCATCTCTTTCTTTCTTGCCAAGGCGAGCTACTTTGACGTCTATTTTGGGCCTGGCTGCCACAATGACATGCAGCACTACAGTGTCTGTGGATGCTTAAACATTCATCCCTCCTACCATGGTGGCTTTAAGTTTGTGTACGAGGGGCAGCCCATTAGAACATATAACCAGCCATTCTGCCAGGATGAAGTTTCTACTACTATTTCCACCATTCGTCAAGCTACCACAATGTATTCCTGCAACCAGGTTTTCCAGTTTCAAAGCATCTTCTTCCAGTGCTGGACAGCTTGTAGATCTTCTTGCTACTTGCTAACAATGAATAAATCGACCTGGAAAAGAAAAGAGACATGGTTACTACAGTTTGATTTCATGAACCCAAAGTTATTTTTGTTTTTCGATTTCCACCACTACCTAGTAGCAATTGCAGTACTGATAACGTACAGAGTCCAGATAAGAAGACATAGTTGTATAAATGGTAGTCAGAAGTTTCTTGTCCATTCTCCGATCTTACCTTGGAAATCAACTAAGGTTCCTGGCATTTCCAAGACAGATGCTCTCTGGAAACATCAGTGTCAAGTGTTTCAGTTTTGATAGTCTCGATATTTGTCGTGGCAATCCTGGTGGAAGAAACTTATGATCAGCTCTGTTTTCGGGAGGAAGAACCGACGTTTTCTACTTTAAAGTCTACATCCAGTGCTACTAGAGAGCTTGTAAATCTTCAAGTTACTTTGCGGACAATGAAAAAACCGTCCTGGAAGAAAGGGACATGGTTACTACGGATTGATTTCATGAACCTGGTTACCTCGCAGCTTGCCTTGTTGTTCTAGATGTTCTTGTTCATAAGGAGGAACATCAGTATGCCTCCCACCACTGCCACGTTTAGCGACTCGAATTTGCCGGGCATTGGAACTGTGAGGTGTTGCGAGCCCCGCCGCGCTGGATCCGAGAGACCTTGGCCTTCGCTGCCCAGGACCAGGCACAGCGATTTCACACTCTTGATCTTCTCTATCAGTGCCTCCGGGGAGTTTTTCTTGGAGTGGAGCCGAGAGGAGTGAACTTGCTCCGGGATGCCGGCGTAGAATTTCATGGCGTTGGCTTTGCCGAAGGCTTGAATCTGTGGCCAGGTTCCAGCCGCGATTGGCATCCGGAAGTTGGCAGCTCGTGATGCTCGCAGGGTCTTGTCGTTGAAAGGATCGCAGCAACCGGGCAGCAAAAACACACCATCCTGGAAAAGAACAAGTTTTAGCTCGACTCGTGAATTCTAGAGCTCTTTACCCAAGCAAACGCTGTAGCTGTGCGCAAGAGCGTGCCAAGGTTCCCAGGATCCTGTGGAAAAAGTAGTTATTTCACAATGCATACGAACCTTTAGACAAAGGAACTTCTACCTGGATTCCGTCGAGGATCAGAAGCCTGTGAGGATTTGGACACCATTTCTCGAGAGTTGCTCCTGCGGATGCCAAGCTTTCATCCGGGCTCAGCTTTTGAAAAGAAGATGGTAGCTTCACCACACCGATGGCGTCCACTGACTCGGAAGACTTGAGCCCCGCCAGCTTCTGCATGACCGACGCAGTTAAGAACACCGTGCGTTGCGAGAACGTAGAGAGCTCTTGAGGGAAGTCTCTTTCTTCCACTACGAGTAGCATCTCCAGCTCAAACGCTGCTTCTGTGTTGTTTGTCACTGCAAATTCACAGAGCTCCCTTCAATGCAAAGAAAGAAACGAGAAGATTCAGAACACGCACTCGAAGAACACACATGATTCAATCAAAGAAAGAAACAACAAACACACAAACACGCAGAAAAACACACTCGAAGAGCAAAAGAAAGGAAAACTCCATCCAATCTTCAAACAAACAGAGCGATTGCTTACTGCAAGAGATTGGAGCCGACTACCAGCACCGATTCAGTGGCCTCGCGATACGAAGAACTCTCCCGCATTTTCACCAGATGCTTCACATAGGGATTCGACAGGCTAGAAACGTGCTGGACATGGCGCGGCAGCTCCACAACCGATTTCCTCTCCGCGCTGGGAGTAGCAGACGCCTTGCCATTGGAATTAGCAAGCGGCATTCGCACTGCGCTCGCGCACACCGGCGCAATCCGGACATCGTAGCCCGGCATCCGGAAGAACCCTAGAAAGGAAATATTTTGCTTGGCATAAACCCTAAAACCCCATTGGGGAGGGAAAGATCTCGCGATCGCTGTGAGGGAAGGCGATCGTCGCCAGGTTTGTGATTGGTGCGATCCTCGCGTAGAATGCAGCAGATCGAATGAGGGCGTTCAGGAAATTCTCGTTTCGAACGCACTCTCAAGAGAATGCGAGAGGATTGGTCAAGGTCGAGGAGTGCAAATGGAACGAGTTCTTTCAAAATCCCTCGGCCTGGTGGGATCATAGAAAAATCAAGGTGGGTTTCTTTCCCCCTCTTTGGATAGCCATCTGCGAGAGTTTTTTTTCTTTGTCCATCGTGAAAGTTTCTCTCTTCGATGTTTTCGTGAAAGAGTTCATTCTTTTTTTCCCTGAAAGTGAGATCGTTTGTTTGGCTTGCAGAGCGATCCCAAGGAGCCGGATTTTGTTCACGCGAAAACGAAGGATTGCCTGTGGATCACGTCGTTCTTCAGTCCGCCATGGCTTCCACAGGAGCTCAAAATGATCAGGCCTGCCACTTCGGACGCTCGTAAGAGCTTGAGAGCCAGGTACAAGAGTGACGAGGAGATTGAGAGCTGCCAGAGCGTCGAAAAGAACACGCAAGAACAGGCCGACAGTGAGTATGATCCTGCGCGTATCAGGCAACACCGCTACGCACTGAAAGGATGTAGCAGTGTGGATCAAGTCCAGAAAATCCACCTCGAGCTTTCGAGAACCAGGGAAGCCAGGCACGTCGAAGTCGCGAAAACTCTCATTGCGCTCTACTCCAAGTTTGGTGCAATGGTGGAAGCTCGGAAGATCTTCGAGAAGCTGGCCGAGCCGACTCAAGGATCCTGGAACGCGATGGTCCGAGGATTTTCGGATGTTGGGGAGAAAGAGCTCTCGCTCGAGTTCTTTGACCGGATGATCAAGGCAGGGGTGGTTCCAGACGCTCGGATCTTCGTGCGAGCGTTCAAAGCTTGTGGAGACCTCGCGGCCAGAGAGGAAGGAAAGGTGGTCCAGGGCAAGGTGGTGAAAGAATCCTCGCTCAAGAGAGCGATCTCGCTCCACAAGCTTGCGGAGAAATGCGGCCAGGAATCCAACATCTTCGTGGCCAACGCGGTGCTGGATCTCTACGCAAAGTGCGGCAGCATGGCGATCGCTCGCAAAGTTTTCGAGAGGATGGCCTTCCAGGATCCGGTGTCGTGGAACTCGATGATCATGGGATACGTCCAGAACGGCGACAGCGACGTAGCTCTCGAGCTCTTCTCGCGGATGCAAGACGAGGAGTTCACTCCAGACTCTCGGACCTTCCTCGCGGCGATCACGGCTTGCAGCGCTCTCGCAGCGAGAGAGAGATCGCCGGTATCGTCCAAGGTCACGAAGAAACTCGCCACCATTCTCGAGAGAGGCCAGAAGATCCACGAACAGCTCCAGAAGACGAGGTTCCAGGGGGATGTTTACGTCGCAAACGCGATGATCGACATGTACGCTAAGTGTGGCAGCATGGCCGAGGCCCGGAGCGTCTTCGACGGGATCCACAGGAAAACTCTCGTGTCGTGGAACTCGATCCTCACGGGCTACGCACTGAACGGAGAAGGCAGCGAGACAATCAAGCTCTTCGAAGCCATGAAGGACGAACCGCTCGAACCGAGCGCTAGAACTTACGTTGCTCTTCTGGGAGCTTGCTCGAGCCTGGCGGCCAGGGAAGAAGGGAAGAGGCAGCAGGGCAGGATCGTCAAAGTGGCGGCGCTGGCCAAAGGAAGAGCTTTTCACGAGATGATCCGCGAGAGAGAACTTGGAGACAACGTCTTCGTCGCCAACGCGCTCGTCGACATGTATTCCAAGTGTGGGAGCTTGGAGGAGGCCAGGGAGGTGTTCGATGGCTGCAGGAAGCGAGACGTGGCGATATGGAACGCGATGATCTCGGCGTGCGCGCAGCTGGGCGATCCCCGGATGGCGCTAGATCTCTTCGCCCAGATGGAGCAGCAGGGTGACAATCAAATGCGGCCTAGTGCGAGGAGCTACGCTGCTGCTCTCGCGGCATGCTCCGCCGGTGCCTCGATCGAGCAAGAAGGCAAGGAGCAAATGGCCAAGAACAGGAAAGAGTTTCTCGAGCAAGGCAGGATGATCCACTCGCGGCTGCTCGCCAGAGGAGGAGGATTCGAGCGAGACGCAGTGGTTTCCAGTTGCATACTGGAGATGTACGCCAAGTTTGGCGCCATGAGCGACGCGAGGAAGATCTTTGAGGGGATTGGGGAACGCGATTGCTGGCACTGGAGATGGATCGTGGCCGGGTACTCGAGAGCTGGAAATCACTCCACTGCTCTCAAGCTCTTCCGGCGCATGGAAGGCGAAGGGTTTGCTCCTGACGCGGAGACGTTGGTGGCGGCGCTGGATGCGTGCCGCGGGCTTGAGGATCTGGAGAGCGCGCGGAGAATTCACGCCGAGATTGTCAAGGCGGGGCTGGAGAAACACCAAACAGTCAAGGAGTTTTTCGCGAAGAACACGGGCTATCTTCCTGGAAGAAGTGTTGACTCGCATTGACTTGGTTGACTCAGTGTAGCTATTAGGCTAACTTAAATAAACATTAAAATCAAAATTTTATTCTTATCATTTGTCAACTAAGATCTGACTTTTGGCTAAGTATCAAGGTCTAACAAACATTAAGAAAAGAGTTGGGAATCATTTCACTAACGTTTTCTTGTCTAGCTAGTCCTTCGGACGCGTCCGATTGACTCAGCACTGAGTGACTCGCGTCCGAACAGTGTGTGACTCGCTGGGTGATTCGCAGAGTCACGACATTTAACTCATGGACCATAAGATCTTGCGAAATCTGCTTGATTTCTGTGCCAATGGCGGCACATTCCTCATCCTCTATTGTGGAAGATCCAAATTTCAAGCTTAATGCCACCACAAAGCAGGTCGTAGCTGCTCAGTTCTCCACTCTCATAGATAAAGGAATCCCTTCGGGGCTGGACTATAGTGGGGAATCGGAGAGCCTGTCTTTTTTTTGACACTGTCGAGGTTGCAGAGGTCAGCAATTCGATCGTCCCTAAGCATTCTTGTGCGAGGTGCTTTCAATTGTCAAGCTGCTTCCAAAGTCGTGAATTCGAGCATGCTGCGGGATGGGTTTAGAGCTTGGTCTCAGAGCTGGAGCTACTTATGAACAAGACCTATGGAGCTGCATATACCGTCTCGGGACAGCTTCAAGTCGGTTACCATATCAAGGGGATCAATGCTAGAGGAAAGGATGGTTGCACTTCGCTCCAGAAATTTATCGGCAAATTTCAGCATTGATTATAACACATATCATGATACTCTGGAAAGCTACACCATCTTCAACACGTTACACGCCGGATGCAAGCTCACCTCACAGAATCAGGCTTACGAGCTGCAGATGCAGCATGACTGCAAGGTGTTGTTGCGGGATCAGCAGGAGCATTTGGTCACCAGTTTTCTACTCACTGGTGCTTATACGGGCCCTGGCTGCTCTCTGGTTCTTCAACCCGATGGTCACGTCGTATTGTATGGTCCCAGTGGAGATTCGTTGTGGAGAAACCCAGGTGCATCTCCTAATATCTCTACTATATTGAAATCTGGTAGTACACAAGCTTCACCAACTTGATCAATCAGGAGGTCTAAGTGGGATATGGAACACTGGAATACCAAGTGTGCCATTTTGATGCTAAAAGTTTTCTCTCTTACAGTGTGAGCTCCAGGTGCACCAGTGCGTTGAGTGGTGCATCTCCAGAATCACCACGTACACCTAGCAGAAAATCACAGACCCGAATAATCCTAATCCTATCGTTGGTGCCTTTTGCTGCATTATTATCATGCTCTCTGCAGGTACTTTACCGCTCATGTTGTTTCCTCTCTGAAAGGCTGCTGTGGAAAAATTAGGAACACGTATAGAAGTTCCAAAGACCAAAGTATACTCTTACCAAGAACTTAGCGATGCGACAATGGCATTTAACGAACGAGATTGGGAGAGGAGGTTTTGCAGTTGTCTATAAGGTAGATATAAATGTTACTAATCCTTTATTGTGAGGGAACCGTTGCAATTAAGTAGATGAAGTTTCATACTGAGAAAATTCAGTGCGATCTTGTTAGAGACTAACCAGCACAGGAATCACGTTAAGCTGCTTCCAAAAAGATTCAACTATTTAGTGTATGAGTACATGACATGAAAAAGCCTCCGACATGCTTTGGATGGTAATCCTTTTTTTTTGTTCAGCTGTTCCTACAACTCCTTTTGCTATGTGCAGATGCAGAAGTGCACCTGTCCTGGAAAACAAGATATGAAATACGCTGGAGTTCATTTTACGACCTATGAATGTGACTGTTTGTAATATTTCAGTGGCTACATCCCTCCAGAATATGCACAGGGACAAAAGCTGATGTATCTGCATTCGGGCTACTGACATTCGAAATAGTGACTGGGAAAAAGAGTTGCAATGAAGATGAAGATCTTCCGGGATGGGTACGTTATAACCTGCTTATTTGAAGTTATCAACCCGTAAACTTGCAGGTGTGGGAAAGACATGCTCAGCGGAGGCAGCAGAAAACAGTGGTGAGATTTAGCGTGCATTACTGATAGCACTTCTTTGCAGTCAGAGCAGGAGACCAGCTATGTCCCAAGTTATTGGAATGTTGAAAGGTGGTGATGCTACATTATACTGTAGCTTCTTTAAACTGGAATATACCGAGAACTAGGGTTTATGCTACCATGCTGTCGATTCCCTCCTTGGCTGCAAGCCATTGCGAATGTAGGCGATGGCGATCGTGTGGCGCGAGCGCGATTCGCACTACGCTTGCATCCACCAGGCCTCAGGTATGCCCGCAAGAGATCGCTACCCGGAATAATTTCATGTCCAGGTTGAAAGAGTGCAATGTGGTTGCCGCAACAGCTTTCCGGGGAAAATCCTTGGAGTTGCCTTAGCAGCTTCTCTGTCCCTCACCTCTTGGTGGAGTCCGGCGCTTCCAAGGTGAGCATTTCTTTTCTTTTCTTTCTGAAACCCCAGATGATTTTCTTTTTTATTGTGACTTAAGCGTTTCTGTGATCAGCTTTGCAGTAACAGCAAGCATGGAGCAGGAGATACTCCCGATTCCAGAGGAGTTTCCCCCGCTGCCCGATTTTTCTTTTCCGCCATATGAGATGGTAAGGCAAATGCTTCGAGAAATAGCTCATGCTTCGTTCCTTTCGCTCTCCAGATTGCACTGGACAATGGTCTTCGAGTTTTTCTTCTGGAAGATCACGAGCTGGGACTCGTAAGTGGAGCTTCTTTTTTTTGTCAGTGTTATGGATTTTTATTTTTAATTTTTTTTTTGTTTTTTATCTTGCTCTATTGCGCAGGTTGGTGGAAATCTGATTGTTAAAGGCGGTGCGAACTTAGAACCGGAAGAGAAGGTAGTAGCTGCTTTTCAATTCACAATGGTTTTGGACATCAGAAACTCAGGTGGGACTGGCGAGAATGACGTCTGCTGTGCAAAGAAGTGGAGGGACAGCTTCTCATCCAACCGATTCATTAGATCTGGAGCTTGAGGTAAACTACGTTGTATGCTTGTGACTGATTTTGCTCCTTTTTTTTCTTCTTCTTTTTCAGTCCATGGCAGCTAGGATTGAAGCATCGTCCAGTGGTGGAAGTATGGGTGTCGGCTTTCGTTGCCTTGAGGAAGACCTTAAAACTGTCTTTTCCATATTTTCAGATGGTAAACAGTCATTGCAATGTGTGGTCTCATGTCTAAGCTTGAAGCTTGTGTGGTGCAGTCGTTCAAAGGCCAACAATGCCTCGGGAGAAGCTAGAACTTGTTCGAGGACAGCTTTTGGGATCCATTTCCCGCAGAAAAGATAATGTAAGGCTATGAAATTCAATTTGTTTCAAGTTTTTTTGGTCTCATTTCTTTTTAATCAGGCTGAAACTTTGGCGACTATAGAGCTGCAAAAGCTCTTGTACGGAGATAAAAGTGTTTATGCGCGTCTGCCCGAGGAGAACACTGTGGGATCTATTTCTCGCAATGATCTGATTGCGTTTCACAGCCATGTTTTTCGGTGAGCTAGTTTTTTTCTTTGTTCTTCTTCATATATCATTTGTAAGAATTTTTGCTGACAGACCCGACTCAGCGGTATTAGGAATTTGGGGTGATTTTGACTCGTCGACAATGAAGTCACTAATTGAAAAAGAATTCTCGGCGTGGAGGACTCCAGAAAACATTAACAAGTTTTTACCAGTAAAGAACGACACCATGCCCGAGCCTGTAACCAGCGTTTCTGAGCCAAAGGTGTTCTTGGTGGATCGTCCCGGCCTAACTCAAGGGTATGAATTAACTCACGAATACTTATCATCTTCGCTAACAGGTAAACCCCCTGTAGCTACGTTCGTATGGGGGAGCTTGGAACTACCATTGCGGATCCTGATGTGTTTTCCTTGGACGTTTTGAATGGCGTGCTAAACGGTTTTGGAGGCCTCTTATTTGACGAGGTACATGGCTTTTTTGTTAGCGAGTTTGTTGAGCACTTCATCCATGCAGATTCGATCAAAAGAAGGTCTGGCGTACTCCGTATCCGGAGGATGGAGTCCTTCGATCGACCACAGAGTCAGCTTGGTCATGATCGTTGCAGAGCTCTGATTGTCTTTTTTTTTTTTTCTTTTGCTATAGGGGGCATTCGTTGCAGGAGGGGAGACACAAGTTCAGTCGGTTCCCAGATTTTTAAAGGCCATCAAGACAGTTCTGATGTCTATTGTCGAGACACCTGTTTCTGAAGGTGAGATTTCTGGTCCAAGCATTTTATCGATTAATTTGCCTTCGTTTGTGTGTGTAGAAAAGCTGTCTCAAGCGAAAGAGGCCGCTCTAAATTCTTTTGTTTTCAATATTTCAAGCAGGTAATTTGTGATTGTGACTATAAGTGTAAGTTTCTCATGGTTTGGTTTTTGGATGCAGAGAATCGCAGCTGGGACGCATTCTTATCTACGATCTATTCGGAATTGATCAGAATCTACCTTTCACGTACAAAAAAAGAGTGGAAGAAGTAACGACGGATGATATTCTACAAGCCGCACGAAGGCACCTTCATCCCGACTTGGAACCCATCGTAGTTGTTACTGACGCTAAGGCACTGGGGCCTCAAACGCCACCTTTTGTGCCACTGCGAGGACGATAAAAGCTACACGCAAAGTGACAAGTATTTTATTTTATTCTCTATATAATCTCATTCATGAGATGGCTTTTGCAGGCATTCATGCGGCGAATCCTGCTAAAGCACACGAAATGGCTGCTTGTCATCCAAGGGATGATGAACTGCCATCCTTGTTAAGAGAGTGTGGTAGAGTGAAGGACTTGGATCAAGGCCGGAGGCTCCACCGTTGGATTTTCGCTCACAAATTCCATAGATATGATAGGTACCTGAGAAATCTGGTTGTTCAAATGTATGGAAGCTGTGGGTGCTTGCAGGAGATGGAGGCGGCTTTCTTGGAGATCAGAGAGCCAAATCTCTTCTCATGGAACATCCTGCTCACAGCCTATGCCCAAAACGGGTATCTCGAAGGCGCGGTTTCGACATTTCAGAGAATGCCAGAGTGCAACATATTGTCCTGGACGAACCTCTTGTCAACTTACGGTCAGGCTGGTCAAGTTGGAGCGGCAAAGCTGGTTTTTGACGTGATCCCGGAGCTGGACGTGGCTGCTTGGAACGCGCTTTTGGAAGCTTACTCTCAAAACGGGCAGTTCGGCAAGGCAAAAGAGGTGTTTGACGAGATGCCGCATCGAAGCGTGGTCTCTTGGACTATGATGATTCAAGCGAACTTTGAGCTGGGCCACGTCGAAGAGGCAGAGCTTCTTTTCGAGCGGATACCGGAGAGGAACATCGTCTGCTGGACGGCTATGGTGGCGGGACTTATCGAGAATGACAGGATGGAAGCAGCACAGGAGGCCCTGGATCGGATGCCCGAGTGGAACATACTCTGCTGGAACGCACTGCTGGTGGGATACTCTCAGAAAGGATTAGCGGAAGAAGCCCAGGCTACACTCGAGAGAATGCAGGTGTGGAACTGCGTCTCGTGGAACTCGCTCGTTTCAGTTCACGCTCAAAACGGAGAACTCGCCAGAGTGAAAGAAACTTTCGACAGGATGCCCGAGCGGGACCTCGTCTCGTGGACGAGAATGGTGCAAGCGTATGCTGAGAACGGACACATTGAGCACGCGAGGTGCCTGTTCGATGCAATGCCGGAGAGGAGCACGGTGTCGTGGAACACAATGGTGGCGGCGTACGCTCACAGCCAGCATCTGGAAGAAGCAAAGAGGATGTTCTTGGAGACACCCGAGAAGGACGTGGCGTCGTGGAACACAGCTCTCTCCAACACCGAAGCCAGGGACGATCTGGAGAGCTTCTTCGGTCGGATGCCGGTGAAGAACATCGTCTCGTGGAACGCTCTCCTCGGCTCTCGGGTCTGCGTTGGAGAATCCGGGAGGAAGAGTCCCAAGGCAGTGGAGGTGATGGCGAGGATGGGCCTAGAAGGCGAGAGGCCGAACGAGATATCAGTGCTCGGGCTCTTGGTGGCTTGCGTGCATTTGGGAATGCTGGACGAGGCTAGAAAGGTGGTGGCGGGCATGAGAGACGACTATGGAGTGGATCCAAGGACGGGACACTTATCGGCCGTGGTGGGAGTTCTCGCGAGGTGTGGAGACACGGCACAAGCACAGGTTTTTCTGGAAAGCTTGCCGCTTGGAGGTGACTTTGCGACGTGGGGTGCTCTCCTCAGTGCTTGCAGCACTCACGGCGATGCTGGGAATGGGAGAGAGGCAGCGAAGCGAATGCTAGTCGATCCGGGAAGGGGAAAGAAACCGGACGACTCCTCGCCGTATGCTCTACTCGCCAACATTCTTCTCGGGTAGAACAAAGTTCCTGTGGAAGAAATCCCTAAAGTGGTGAGTTTGGTGATGGAGGAGACAGGCGAGGAGTCCATTCGCGAAGGTAAAAGCTGGTTTTTTTTTCTCGTTTTGAGGGCGATTCTCATTTTGGGTCGATGTGTTCCCTCGTGGGTTGTGAAGATTCGAAGGATACAAGCGAAGAGGCATCGCCATTTCCGGTTTTTCAGAATGAGGATGATGATCTTCCCCCTAAGGTGGGATCTCCGGAGGAAGAACTCGTCGATGGTGTGACGAAACAAATCATCAAGGAGGGGCAGGGGGACACGCCTCAAAGGCATGCTACTTGTTTCGGTAAGCTCCTCCTTTTTTTTCTTCTTCTAATAATGCGTGCTTGTTTCTTCAGTGCACTACCGGGCATGGACTGTGAGTACAATGCATAAGTTTCAGGATACGAGGAAGGAGCAGCAAGTGCTAGAGCTTGTTCTGGGACATGGTAAGCTGACTTATTCTTTTCTTGTCTAGAACATTTCTGGTACTTTGCAGAGAAAGAACAGCTGCGCGGCCTTGCAATTGCTGTTACGAGCATGAAGGCTGGCGAAAGTGCTTTGTTCAAAGTTGGGTGGAAGCTTGGGTATGGAAAAGAAGGGAACTTTTCGTTTCCAAACGTTCCACCTATGGCTGATCTTGTGTACGAAGTGGAGCTCATCGGATTCGAGAATGCACGCGAGGTAAAGTTGCTCCCGATCGTGATTCGGATTGGTTTTTTAATTTTGTTTTCTTTCTTTTGTCTCCAGGGAAGACCACGCGCAGAAATGACAGTGGAAGAGAGAATCGAGGCCGCTGATCGACGGCGAGTGGATGGAAACGACGCCTTCAAAGAGGACAAAGTCGGCGAAGCAATGCAGAAATACGAGATGGTATGCTCGTCTGTCTTTTCTTCTTTTCCAGACGAAAACTCTACAAATTTCAGGCACTGGCGTACATGGGAGACGACTTCATGTTCCAACTCTTCGGGAAATACAAAGACATGGCCAACGCCGTGAAGAATCCGTGCCACTTAAACATGGCAGCTTGCTTGCTCCGGCTCGAGCAGTACGAAGAAGCCATCGGCCAGTGCAATGTTGTAAGTCTCCCAGCTCTCGCTCCTCCCGAAAGAAGAGACTTTGATTGATAGTAACCGGGAGAAGCCAGGTCCTTGCAGAAGACGAGAACAACGTCAAGGCATTGTTCCGGCGCGGGAAAGCTCAAGCGGCACTGGGACGAACAGACAATGCAAGGGCGGACTTCAACAAGGTGAAAGCGCTGGCTCCAAACGACAAGGCAGTGCTCAAGGAGCTCAAGCTGATAGCGCAGCACGACAAGGAGCTCTACGAGAAGCAAAGGCAGCTCTACAAAGGCCTGTTTGGGCCGCCGCCGCTGGAGACACCATCGCTCAAGAGAAAGAAATGGGTGAGAGCTCTCATAGATTGGTTCTTGTCGCTCTTCCGTGCCTTGAAGCTTGGACGTAGAAAGAGCGAGTAAAAAGTACGTAACGTTTTCTCACAATCCATACTATGGTATTATTTTTAGCATATTCACCTATTCGCATTTATGAATTTTATGCTGAATTTTATGAATTTTATGCTTTCAAGAGAACGTCGCCTTGAGCTGCCGGACAGCATTCTCGTCAATAAAGAAGGTCTTGACGAGCACCTCGTCCAGGATATCCGATCCAAACATGGAGTTTGCGATCAGCTGGAAGCCCGGTGACTGCGAATCCAGCGTCACGATGGCCATGGCGGTGGTGTTGCCAACGTTGAGCTGCCAGTGGATCAAACCCCGCGGGAAGATCATCACGTCGCCTTTGGAGATGACCCGAGCGAAGAGCTGGTTCTGGGTGGTGACGAATCCGGCGTACAAGCTCCCCTTCACGACGTAGATGATCTCCGAGCCTCGCGGGTGCGTGTGTGGAGGGATGAGACCGCCGGGAGCCCAGTCGAGCCTGGCTATGCCGAGGCCGAGAGTGTTGAGCCCCGGATAGTCCTGGACGAAGCCAAACACCGCGGCGGCTCCCGTTGGGCCGCTGGTGTTTGCGGAGTTTCGAAGGCCCGAGAAGATAAAATCCTCGGTGGTGGTGTTGGCCGCTCGCTTGCAAGGATAGCCATTGAGAGTGAGGTCCTTTGCGAGGTCGGCCACGCAAAAGTCCTGGAGGGGATCGGGGTCAGAGGCTGTGATCACCTGGAAGATTGGTGCCGCGATGACGAGAAGCTGGAGGAGTGTGATCATCGTCGCGTTCTTGAGTGATCCCTGGCGAACTTGAGGAACAAACAGAGAGAGATGATAAAAACTAGATCTTATGCGCTCACAAGATCTCCTTTTGCTGAGAAGTGGCTTGAGCTGTGAGGTGAGATGTGAAGGTATTTGTAGGATGGAAAGTCTTGGGTGTCAAGAAAATATAGGTTCCACGAACCACTGGGAGGCGTGATAAGTCTTTGTTGACAATGTGGACGCTTCCGTAGACCTTCGGAGGGTTGAAATAATCTTTGCATGCGCGCGTCAACCGGGGATTTCTCTTCGCCAAACATTGCCAAGGAGCTCCATGTCGGACACTTGATTGTAACGAAGACAGATGGTGCCATAGGCCACCAGCCTTGTGGTTCGTAATTTTTCCTCGGGCTCTAAATAGTTGTTTATTTAGGTACCGTGTCCATGTTGAGAAGGCGCGTGCTTAACAGGCAGCTGGGCACGCAAGTGCGTCAACTCCTTGATGCAAAACAGTTGTTTTAATTTTGGAACATAGGATGAGAAAACGAGCAAGTTCTCGCTATTCTCTACCTGCACAACGGAGATAGGATTCCCATATGCCTTTGATTCTAGACCAAATTTCCATTGCATTGTTGCTGCAAGAGAGTTTCAAGGTTGCTCCATGAGGAGGAAATCTCGGTCTCCAAACTTGGCATTGTTGCAAGCGGTGACGAGAAGTGAGAGATTGGTTCTTAAAGGACTTTAACCTAAAGAATTATGCGTGTCTTAGCATATTCCCAGTATCTTTACGTTTCCCTCCCCGAGTGTTTGAGCTGCATGGAGTGTTTGAGCGCAAACCCTAGCTTGCGCGAAGCCGGCGGCGAGAGGGCGGGGAAAGCGAGCGTGAGAGATGGCTTCGATTCTTCTGCAAATCCGATTCTAACTTGACAGGATGGCGATCGCCAGCTTCCGGGGCTGTGGATCTTGATCGATCGTCGCCGAAATATCGCCGGCTTCGACACAGGGAAGCATTACATAGGCGCGGCGCCACAAGAACTGTAAGAATCGATCGTGTCAGCAATGGATGTAACGAGCATTTGCGTTGGATCCAGTCTCGCGACAGACACGGGGCGATCGATTTCAACGATTAGGTTCTTTGCTTTCCGGCATTTGCTATCTACAGCGACCAAGAAAGTAAGTGCTTCGCCTTCTTCACGGATTTCTTCCTGACAAAATTTCGTTCGTTTGATCACAGATATGGCGAGCAACCATAAGCTTCCATGGCCTTACGTCGTGGAACCGGAGGAATCCGTCCGAATCGCAGTCGAGAGCCTCATCGTGGATGAAGCAACACGCAAGAGAGAGATGGTCCTCACAGTCTTACATAGCTACATGATCGTGCATGCCGCTGACTCGTTCGACGACCTCGTGGCGGAGTTTTATGACGATATCTATGAGAGTCGCCTAGTTCCCCAGGTGGAATGGCCGGTTGAAGGAGATGATTCACACAAAGCTATGGAGGCACAGCTCCTACAACACCTCAAGAGCTTGCTCTATCTCTCGACGACGGGGAAGGTTACGGTGGAAACGGTGAAGCGAGCTCACTGGATCATGTTCTATGGAGCCAAGGCAGACTTCAAAGCAGGAGAGCTGCGAACAACCGATGTGTCGTCTGATCCTGGTAGCAGCTTTTCACGGGGGACTAAGCTCCTCCCGGACTTGCTGTTCGTCTTGCAAGAGATTGAAGAGCAGCGGCTCAAGGTGGCGCACACAAGCTGGACAGTCCGGAGCCGTGTGAACAAGGTCGCGAGCCTCTTCTACCGTCTTTTGGAGGTTCATCCGTTTCCAAACGGTAATGGCCGCATTTGCCTGCTCGTGCTTCCAGTCCTCATGAAGATGTTTCGAGTGGTTCCTTTGGTTTTGCCGCTCTGGGACGGGAGTGCTACACGGAAGAAAATGCGACGTCATTTTTTCTACTGCCTGAAGCGAGCCATAAACAAGATGGACGTCAGTGCCCTCTCTGAATTTCTCTATTCAAGCTTGATCTATAACGTCTACAGGGTGAAGAAGGTAATAAAGCTCTTTGGAAACTTTATGTCGAAATTACTGACTTTGTAAGCCGTCCAGGAGCAAGACGCAGCAGCCTATGGCCGAGCTTTCAAAGAATATGATCGTTTGCAAGCATTACTCGTGAGTACACAAGGAAGACTATATTTCTTATAACGTCTTCAAGCTCCAGGCCAAAGCTCTGTCACGGTTTTGGACCACAGAGTGCATGAGACAGATCAATGTTGCTCTCGTTCAGGCATGGACCATGAACAACAATTATAAACAAGAGCGGCTATTCTTACCAAGGTACCTATAAAACTTCTCGTCAAGTTTTGACAGGGATCTCATTAGCAACGAAAGGATTAGGCCAGAGAATGTGAGCAGTAAATCCCTTTACCAGCGGTCTTCCTGCAGTTATCGTGCAAAACAGAAGCATTTGCTTGTTGCCAGGTAAATCGTGATGAATGTGAACATCTAAGTCAAATGGAGCTTTTACAGGGAAGGGCAGCGTCTACCGCAGAAGATCACTGAATGGTGAGCATAGTTCATTTTTAACGAGCTGTAATAAACCGTTTTCTTCTCGCTACAGTACCCGCATATGGCGACTATTCACTAAAGCTGTGAAGTAGCTCTTTTATTGCTTAGGGTTTATACACAATAGAAAGGTTTTGTTTGATGGCACGATGTCCGTCTGTGAGGAGCGAGATCTCCCAGATTTTTCAAGCAGCATTTCGCAGCACGGTCGGAGAGTGGGTTTCTGTGGAGCCCATTGTCACCGCTTGCAACAATCCCAAGTTTGGAGACTATCAAATGTAAGTCGAGATTTTCCTCTTCATGGAGTAACCTTTAAACTCTCTTGCAGCAACAATGCGATGGGAATCTGGTCTAGAATCAAAGGCATGCAATCCACATACGGGAATCCAGTCTCTATTGCGCAGGTAGAAAAGTGTAGCGAGAACTTGCTCGTTTTTACGCTTTTCTTCTTAGGATGTTTTGCGGAACATTCCCAGGACGAGCTTGTTTGAGAAGACCAGCGTTGCTGGAGCAGGCTACATAAATGTCACGCTCTCGGCACGCTTCATTGCAGAGGTATAGATCTTAAGCTCGATCGTTTTCTTCTTCTTATCCTATGTTCCAAAATTAAAACAGAGACTTACTACTGTTTTGCATCAAGGAGTTGACGCACTTGCGCCCGAGCTGCCCGTTAAGCACGCACTCGTGGATTTCTCTTCGCCAAACATTGCCAAGGAGCTCCATGTCGGACACTTGCGCTCGACAGTTATCGGCGATAGTGTGGCGAGAATGCTTGAGTTTTGTAACGTAAGTGTCATGCGGAGAAACCACGTTGGCGACTGGGGAACGCAGGTAACGAAGCCAAAGTCCTCCTTTCTTTGTTCCTTTCAGCAAGACCTTGGCAGATCTTTTGCAGTTTGGAATGCTACTTGAACACATATTTGAGACGGGTGCCGAGGTAGAGGGTATCGGCGACTTGCAGGTTAGATAACGTATGGTTTGCTTTCAGAAATCCTGATCACCTTGTGCGCAGAAAATGTACGTTGAAGCATCCGAGAGATTTAAAAGCGATGAGCAATTCAAAGCTAAAGCCCAGCAAGGTGTGGTCAAATTACAGGTACTGGCGATGGAACAAATATGTTTTCTCAGTACGTTTCTTTGCTTGGATTTAGAGAAGCGAGGCGGAATATCACGCTAAGTGGAAGTCCCTTTGCGACGTGAGTCGAAGAGCTTACGAACGAACTTATGGCCGTCTGAACGTTTCTCTTGAGGAGAAAGTGAGCTGATTCATGTCGCTTTGTTCAGATTGATGAAAAGGTTTTTCTTTTGTCTTGCAGGGCGAGAGCTTTTATCATCCATACATTCCCTATGCTATCAAGGCTCTCGAAGAGAAGGGACTTTTGCAAGAGAGCGATGGTGCAAGGGTGATATTTCTCGAAGGCTATGACATACCGCTGATTGTAACAAAGACAGATGGTGCTATTACGTATGCTACCACTGACTTAGCAGCCTTGTGGTTCGTAGTTTTCTTTTTCTGTTGGGATCTAAATAGTTGTTCCAGGTACCGTGTCCATGTCGAGAAGGCGGAATGGATTATCTACGTTACTGATGTTGGACAGAAGCAGCACTTTGATATGTTCTTCCAGGTGAGAGGTTTTGTTTTGGTTTCTCTTTTATATATATGACGATATCTATGTATAGGCTGCAAAACTCGCTGGGTGGTTGCCGGAGCATGGATTTCCCAAAGCCCAACACATTGGATTTGGAATGGTGCTTGGCGAAGATGGAAAGCGCATCCGAGGTAGAAAAGGAGGGGTTTTGCTTGCAAACTTGCTGGACGATGCCAAGAGCCGCAGCCACAAGGAACTGATAGAGCGAGGTAACTGACCCGTCGGAGCTCGTAAAATTCTCATGATCACATCCTAGGCCGAAAAGGAGAGTGGAGCGGTCAAGATTTAGAGGCAGCAGCTGAAGCACTTGGCTATGGAGCCGTCAAGTAAGTTGTCAAGTTCTTCCACAGATATGAACTTCTTGTGTTTTTGTAGGTACGCAGACCTGAAAAACAACCGCGAAACAAACTATAGATTCGACTTTGATCAGATGCTCGACATCAAGGTTTTGTAACGTCCATCGTTTTCTCAGTTCCTTATTTTTGAGCATTTGCTGGCAGGGAAACACTGCTGTTTATCTTTTCTATGCGTATGCACGGGTTTGTTCTATCATCAGAAAATCTGGAAGAAGCATTGACGAAATCAAACAGGTACGGCTGTCTTGTTTCTCAAATGCTTTTTGCAAATAAATTTTGCAGATTTGCGAGCTGGTTGTGGAGCACCCACACGAAAGATCTCTCGGGTTACATCTCATTCAGTTCACAGAGGTAAGCACTGGTGCTTTTACGCGCGACTTAACCAGTTTTTTTCCGTGAGCTCAGACCGTAGAGGACTCCATCAGCCGGCTCTTGCCGAGTACTCTGTGCGATTACCTGTACACTCTCTCGGAGCTCTTCACGCAGTTTTACACCAGCTGCAAGGTTCTCTCTTTCTGAAATCCTTTTGTTTCCATCTCGAGCTTTTGTCGCAGGTGAATGGAAGCTTGCAAGAGGCAAGCCGGTTATTGCTCTGTGAGGCAGCTCGCCTGATCATGAAACAAGGCCTTGAGTTACTGGGCCTTACACCTCTAGAGAGGTTATGATTATAATTATAATGAAGGTGATTCTTTTACATAAAGACCCTTTGAAAGTATACACACAAACTAAGCCGCCGCAAGTGCCGCAATGTTCATGGGCGATACGTACTCGGTGCTGCCGTTGTACCACCTTTGCACCAGTATGGTGTTGAATGCCTCGGTCGGATGAACCAAATCCCAGAACATATACTTGCTGCTGTCCTTGCAGTGGAACGCACCGGGGTAGCAAAACATAAACGGGATGATGCTGCTGCTCGGGCAGCACCCGTGGTGAACGTTGCTCATGCCAAACGCCGCTGGATCCCTCATCACCTCGTCCATGATCCCTGCAGCGTTTGCGTAGATGGGAGTGAAGCCCTGGTGCGACGTCCGCATCTCCTCCAGCATCGTCTGCAGCTGCTCGTTGAAGCGCTTCGTCATCCACTCGCCCAGCTCCGTGCAGCTGTCTCCCAGCTGCGTTGCTGGCACGCATCCAACGTTGAGAATACCCACTACCACGAACTTGCGTGCGCCCAAGTCGTAGAGACGCTGCGGCAAAGGGCAAAAGAAGTTAGAGATGAACTATGCAAAGTTTCATGAGAGATTCGAAAGATTGTTACTACTCACCTCTAACTGTGCATGGAACTGTGAGATGATCGTGTGCATGGGTTCTATGGACGCCATGTCGTTGTTCCCAGTACTAATGTAAAAGATCGAGCTGGCGATCAAGTCCCTCGGCAGTCCTTTCGCAACATGCGAGAAGAGGTCGACTTGAGTGGAAAGGGATAGAATAGATCCCTACACAATTTTCCTGGTTAGAACCTCACTCGCGATTAGAAACTGAAGGCTTACCATTCCAGTGCTATTGAGAATCCCCGAGGTGGCCGATCCGAAGTTCATGCCCTGGGTGGCAGCGCTGGAATTTGGGCTGTAAGGTGGCGGATATGGAAGTCCCAAGTGCTCGGCAACAAGATCGACCGCCAGCTTTCCATCGCAAAACCTTCCACTGGCTTCGTGACCCTTGAACTTGAAGCCGTACGGCAAATGGTTTGCCTTTGCAATCGTGTCGAGATTGTTGTTGTTGCCTGGATCCACGATGGAGTCACCGAAAACGAACAAGGCGTGGACACCAGCTTTGTCATGGTGGCGGTGATGGTGATCCACGAGCCCACTGGCATGGCAGAATACTACTAGAAAACCAAAAGCCAAAGCCTTCCAGAAAGCCATGTCTTTAATCCTTAGCTTCAAAACACCTAAAACCTTGACTTGATAAAGCCTTTTATTAATAAAGCTCTTATAAAGGTCACCTAGATAACCTTTTTTGATTCTCATACTAATAATAATCAAAATCAACTAAGAGAGTTCCTCTTACTTGACTTCTGTAAATCCAGTCAACATGTATCCCATGCCCATTATATTCAAGATGGAAAGTGGCGTTGGAATTGGGAGCTATGCCAGGAACTCGGCCTTCCAGAGCTCAGATTTCTCTCTAGTTGTTCCAGCCATAAGAAACGCCATAGCCATGCACTGCAAAATCGACCAGTAGTTCCAGCAAGATCGTGAGAGTTACAGACCTGGGATGCAAGCAATGGATATAGTTGTCCAGGCCTTCAAAGATCAACTCAAGTTGACAAAGTCAGCAGATCTCCCCCCAGTTCCAGGCTTTCTTCTCCGATGTGAAATCAGAGTTCCGGGTTCCTTTTATGATAGACTTTTTCCATCTTCTAGCATTCACTTCGCCATGTCCAGCGCTCCGTTGCATTGGGTCTCCAAGGTAAAAACTCTTGAGAGTTTTTGTGAGAAGTTCTCTTCTTCCAGATACCCGATGCGATCCTGGATAGCGAATCTGTTTGCTGGAATGGTGGCAATATATCGCCGGACAAGGCAAAGCCCGAGGTGGCGCATGCTTATCAGCAGCAAGGTCACGAAGATCTTTGCAACTTTCTCAAGTTTAGAGCCGAAGAGATCGTTCCGGCGGGGGGGCTTTTGTGCATGCTGATGAACGCGAGGAGGAGCAAGCAGACGTTGTCAACTGGTTTACAGCTACTTGGAGCTCGCATGGGAGGACATTGTCACCGAGGTATAAAATACCATGAAAATACCATAGCTTGAGATCTTGGAAAGTGGTTTTATGTGCAGGGATTGATAGACGAGAGCACCCGAAACACTTTCAACATGCCCTGCTTCCATCGAGCAGACTATGAAATCCTTGAGGCACTCGGCGGAAAGTGGACGGCGATTCAAGGTGTTGAGGCTGGAGATCGTTGATCCCCCGAAACCAGCGTATGGAGAAGCGAGATCTCGGGCGGCTGCTGCTGCCTTGGCAGATCCAAGATGGGAAGAACACACACGCAGCGAGGCAATGTTTCTAAAGAGTGTTTCTTCTCACCTCGTGGAGAAACATCTCTCTCACAACGATTTCCTGGTGGAGGAGTTGCATAAACAGCTCGAGGGGCGCCTACTCACGCAGGAGAAGTCACTGTTTTCTCGTCACTTACCCATGCATTTCAGCGCACGACTATTGGAACAAGCATGAAAAAAATTTCTCGATCCTCTTCCAGTTCATAAGATCATGATCAAACCATGGAAAAAATAAAAGCGAGGCGCTATTTACTTGTTCCCGAATAAAAATTTCCACTGTACAAGTTCCAAAGCTAAAAGTCAATGGAATCACTCGAAAGGAGTGGTTCTCTAATCTCTTCCTGATATGAAAATTAGAGAATGAAGAAGAGTTTTTGCCTTAGAAGTACTCACCAGATTGGACTTTGGATCGACGTAGCGTTTGTTCCACGCATCCACGATCAAACACGCACATCCATCTCCCCAAATGTTGACAGAAGTGCGGACGGCACACAGCAGCCAATCCACTGCGTAGAGAAGTGAAACATCTCCCACGAATTGGGAGTATCCAATCGACTGTAGACAAAACCACGAAGAACATCAAGATTTCCCAAAGTTCTGTTTCTTAAAGTTGGTCCACCTGAAGAGCAACAATCATCGTAAGTAGGCCAGAATTTGGGACCGGACCGCAGCCAACCGCAGCAAGAGTTGCCGCAATCGCAAGAACAAACAGCTTCGCTGGTGGTAAATCGAGGCCATGAGCCTGGACAAGAGAAAACCGAAGAATTCTTTCTGAAAATATACAAAAAAAAACAGAATTTTTCTTACGTACTTGACAGATAAACAGTACAGAGACTGCTTCGTATAGTGCGGATCCATCGCGATTGATATTTGTTCCCAGAGGAATGACGAAGCGAACTAAGTTTGGATCGCAGCCTGAGGCCACGGCACAGTTCATTGTCACTGGCATTGTCACCGCGCCGGACGATGTTCCTAGACCCATGATCAAAGCTGGAAAGAAATTCCTGCAAGATATGGATTCAAAGTTGACAATGTTGTGCCATCAAATTGGCTTACTTGAGAGCATTGAAGGGATTTCTTCGCGAGAGCAGCATGACCATGAGAGGAAGAAGAATTAAAGAGTGTAGCATCAAACCACCTAAGACCGTCCCGACGAATAGCCCAAGAGCCTTGAGCAAGCGAAAGACGTCGCAAGCTTTCAAGAGCGCGTTTGCGGTCAGTGACGCAACTCCGATTGGAGTCAAGGTGATAACTGCGAAAATCTAAGCTTCACAAAGAAAAAAAAAACTTAGAAAAAACAGAACTAGAGAAGAGAGAAAACGATGGCTTACAATCTTCATTATAATTGCATTGCAAAGCTCAACCAACTGGACTAATGAATCTGCTTTCTCGCCTGGCAAAAAAAAAAAAAAAGTAGTTTTTTTTCTTGGCAGAAAGAAGAAGAAATGTAGTACCGAAAGTATTGACGAAGAACGAAAATACGATAGCGAAGGCAACCATGCCAAGATAATCTGATTTAGCAGCAGCGGCAACAAAATTTGTTGGGATAAGATCTCGGCCAATCTGCAAAAGTGGCTCCACCAAAGTGGCAGCTGCGTTTTCTTGCAGAGAAACCGAGCTGCAGCAAGGAAAAAAATTGCTCTTTTTTCACTAAAGATGAACTTGACGCAACTTACGTGATTGTAATGTTGTTCCTAGTGCATTTGTCATTGGTGGTGCTAAATGGTCGAGACTGGCCTGGCTTGATCAAGTAAACCAGAGTGATCCCGACTACCACAGCCAGTAGCATTGATATGAGGTAGTAAAAGAGCGACCACCGCGTGATTCTTCCAACGCTGGACCAAAAAAGTTTTTTCAGAAGTCCATGGAGGAAACGAGAAAAAAACGCAATACCCATGCTGAGTGTGTCTCAAGCTGAAGACTCCGGACATTAGAGCGAAGACAATCAATGGCAAAACGAGCTGCTGCAGTGCTCGAAGATACAATTCGCCAGGATATCCTAGAAACCGAAAACGAAGAACGAAATCACCAACAAATGGAAATCTTTGCCACGCACCTATGAGCTTAATCGTCAAGTCGGAGCAGTGGGCTCTGTAGAGCGCAGCTCCTAAACCGATTCCACACACCACTCCCAGGAGTGTCCACCACACGAGCGTGTCAGATCTGCATAGAGCCATGGCGAGGAAAAACAAAGAAGAACTTGCGAGCTCCACGAGCTCCACGAATGTGGGGACAAGGAACCTATGCAGTGCATTCCACGACAAAGAAATGACAAGCAAAGCATCTTAGGGCAGTTGACTAGAGAGTTTGTCTATGGAGGTGAGTAGCTCTCTCTAAATCTATGCATTCTGGAAGACGAAGAAGCTTAGTTCTCCAAGGTGGGCATTTTCTCCTCTCTAGTCGCGGGCTTTCCATCGTCATAGCTCCACAGCAAAGGCACGAATCCAGTGTTCTTGGCTTGCTTGCCTCGCTCAAGCAATGCAAGACCCTCGTCGAGGGCCGAGAGATTCACGCTCGAGCGATGGCGAGCCGGCAAAGCAAAGATAAGTTCGTGGCCAGCGCTCTCGTGAGCATGTACGCGAGGTGTGGGAGCGTCTTGGAAGCTCGCAAGATCTTTGACGAGCTCGAGAGGCGGGATGTTGTGACTTGGAACTCTCTCCTGCTGGGATATGTCGACAACGATGATCCAGCCAGTGCTCTGGAGCTCTTTGCTGGGATGGATCGTGGGCGAGATCGCCATCGATGCGATCCAAACGCGAGGACTTTCGTGGCTGTGCTCAAGGCTTGTGCGATCTTGGCGGCGAGAGAACAGGCTCACGAAGCTGACGGACGAGCGCTCAAGCTCGCTGCTCTCAAGCAAGGCGTGGCGATCCACTCGCAGCTCGCGAGAGCTTCCAGAGGTATGGATATCTTCGTTGCTAGCGCTCTCGTCACTATGTATGCAAAGTGTGGCAGTGTGATCGAAGCTCGAGCGGTGTTTGATCGAATGCCGTTGCACGACTTGGTTTCTTCGACGGCCTTGATGCTGGGATACGCGGAGAACAGCCAAGAATCGCTGGCGCTGGAGCTCCTCTCGAGCTTTAGTTTCCACTCCCAAGGTATTGCTCCAGACGCTACTTTGTTTGTTGCCGCGCTGAAAGCTTGCTCCAGCCTCGCAGTAAAGGAGGAGGCGAGGGAGATCGATGGAAAGCTCGTCAAGGTGGAGAGCTTGGAAAGAGCGATGGCTATCCATTCCCTGGCGGCGAAGTTTGGCTGCGAGTTTAATCTCTACGTCGCGACTACGCTGGTGGACGTGTACGCGAAGTGTAAGAGCGTGGTGAGCTCGCAGAGAGTCTTTGATAGGATGCCTTGCCACAATGCTGTGTCTTGGACGTCGCTGATGATGGGATATATCGACGCAGGGAATGGAGAGCTCGCCATCGATTTATTCTCGCGGATGGAGCTCGCGAGTTCGTCCTCAATCGACGCGGCAACTTTCGTCTCGGCGCTCAAAGCTTGCTCGAGCCTCTCCGAGAGAGAAGAGGCGAGGGAGCTCGATGGGAGGCTTGTCAAAATGGAGTCTCTCAAGAGAGGAGTGGAGATCCACGCTCGAGCGGAGAAAAGTGGCTGGGAGCTCGACGCAAGCGTGGGGATTTCGCTGGTGGATATGTACGCGAAGTGTGGCTGCTTGGTGGAGGCCAGGCGAGTGTTTGACAGGCTCTCCTCGAGCAGCGTGGTGCCGCTCACGTCTCTCACGCTGGGATACGCGGAGAATGGCCAGGGAGAGCTCGCAGTGGAGCTCCTCGAATCGAAAGTTTGCGAGCAAGGAGGCGGGCTTGATCCGCCAACTTTCGTCGCGGCTTTGAAGGCTTGCTCGAGCATGGCCGGCAAGGAGACCGGGGAGCTCGTCCATGGCAGGCTTGTGAAGCTCAAGGCTCTGGAGAAAGGGATGAGCTTCCACTCGCAGGCGATGGATAGGAGCTTTGAGACGGACACCTACGTAGCCAATACTCTGGTGGACATGTACGCGAGGTGTGGAAGCATGGTAGATTCGAGGGGTGTTTTCGACAGGATGGTGGCCAGGAACTCCGCCACTGCCGCGTCCTGGAACGCCCTCTTGCTGGGATACAGCGAAAACGGCGAGGAAGATCTCTCGCTGGAGCTCTTCCCGAGAATGCTGGAGAGCGAGGCTATGGCGAACTCCCGGACTTTCGGCGTCCTGCTAAAAGCATGCGGAGCTGCCGTGGCTTTGGACAAGCTGCAAGCGATCGAGGCAAGGATCTACAGGGCCGGTCTCGAAGTTGATGAAACTCTGGCAACTTCGCTTGTGGATGTTTACGGGAAGTGTGGAGATATGATCCGGGCACGCTGTGTTTTCGACTGGATCGTCGCTGCTGGAGGTGGCGACTTGGTTCTCTGGACGGCTCTCATCGCAGGGTACAGCCGGGTGGGAAAATGGAAGCTCGTTTTCGAGAGCTTTAGCTCCATGGAAGATCGAGGCTTGGCAGCCAACGCTGTGACGCTGGTTTGTTTGCTCACAGCGTGTAGCCACAGTGGTCTCGTCGAGAGAGGGAGGAGCTACTTTCGCGAGATGGTGCCGAAGTTTGGGATCTCTCCGGGAGTGGAGCACTTGAGCTGCATGGTGGATTTGCTAAGCCGGGCCAATCACCTCGACGAGGCTGTGGAGATGGCCAAGAGCATGCCGGCTGGAGAGAGTGGGGTTGCGTGGATGACGATCCTGGGAGCTTGCTCGAAGTGGAGAAACGTGAGGATTGGAGAGATTGCTTTTGGTAGATTGGTGGAGAGCGACAGTCACTCGGCTGGAGCTTATGACTTGATGGCTAATATCTATGGACGAATATAAATGGATATGGAAACATCGAACTTGTCATTACATTTTTCCTAAAGTTCGGCCAAAGTTCCTAGTTGTCATGCCAAATAAAAAAAAGGATTTTGCGTGCTTGGGATTTAAAACTTTGGTGATGTTTTAAGCCCTAGAAATCTCATGGAGATCGAGGAAGCGGTGATAGCCGCAGCCAAGAAGCTGGGCTGGCGGCTCAAGGCACGGCATTGCCATTGTCTCGCTCGAGGTATGGAATAAAACGAGGTGCTAGAGTGGAATTTGATTAAACTCTGCTAGATCTTTTCTTCGTCCTCGTGGGAGTGAGACCTCTTGTCATGATCGATTACTTGCCTTACAGCGCAAATCTTCTCCAGCTGCTGACCTCTCTAGTAAACTCCGTGTGCGAGGTTTGCAAAGATTTCTTCGTTGCTTCATTCCTCGCAAAACAACTTCCAGGCTTTCAAAGGATGGAGACTCATGTCCATGGACGAATCCATGATCTACTTTCTCCACGCAGCTAATCTGGAAGAGTACATGGAAAGCTCCCTGGGCGACGAGAGCTGGCTGAGCTTTATAATCCTGGACGATGGTCCTGCTCGGGTATGATTCCATGTTTTATTTTCGAAAGAACAAAGCTTTTGATTCTTTGTAGCTCCCAGATGGCCACACAGCTTGAAGAACAGTCAGTGAAAGCCACTCTCAAACGATTGCAGGCTCGTTTGTCACAGTCCCTCGCGGAAGAATCTCGTGAGTGCTCGCTCATTGATTTTAATCACGGTCTATCGGAGCTGGATATCTCCATTCCTACGTGCAACGGGTAAGTTCTTCGTTCTCTCTTTTCTCAAAGCTAAACAAAACGAAGTTACTCGCGAAGATGGCTGCTTGGATATCCAGTGATTTACGTGTTCTCCAAAGACAAGGCTTCTCAAGCATCGCGGTGCTTATCATCGGTCCACTTGTGTTTATACAAGCTTCTCTTGCTCAAGTAAGCACACATTTTATTCCAGGGAAGGAAAAAACAAACTCTTGACTAGTCCAGAGAAAGTCTTGGCGTGGAGACCGCATGAACCAGTGGAAGAAATCTTGAGGTTTTTTTTTATATAAATGCTTATAGTTTTGGAAGTTTCTTCTTCTTGATACTGATACACGCCTTCTGGATTTTGTCAGCTTTACCATCCCGGAGTCCAATGGTTTCTCCCAGCAATGGACTCCAGACGCGTTCATGTCTTATATTGCCACAAAAGTCTCTCAATGTTCCAAAATTGATCCCGGGGACTTGCGACTGGATGTGACTTCCAGACCGCTACAGTCTGTGGCCTTCTGAAGGTTCCTGTTGGAGTGACCAGCTCGAGGCCAGTTGACGCAAGTTATGCGATTTTCCGGCCCCTCGCGTTTGCCTCTCGGTTGAGGAATTTAGACAGGAAATGCATGGAGAAGGATTGGACGCTCAAACCGGGTTTATGGTTTAGCATCACTTGGGCATTCTTCGTAATAAGCGCGCTTACGTGTTTGGGCTTCTCTCTCTCTCTCTTTTTCTTGGTTGCTTTATCGTACAAAATCGTCTTCCGATTTATTCTTTCCAGGAACCATCGAGCTCAATTTCGCTTCCTGTATATGAAGTTTACGTACACGTTTTTCTTGCGGTTGAACGATTTTTATTTAAATAACACCTTGACTCCGTATAGTTGAATAAGACGCCTCGAGCATTGACGAGATCCGTGACATGTGACGTGACAAAACTTCTTGCACGAGGTTTTAATGGTTTTTCTAACTTTGATTTTCCCAGAGGCAGTGTCCAGCGATGGAGGTGGGAGTTACCAGAATCCCAGGAGAGAATTCCAGTGGCCAAGCAGACGACGACGGGGCAAGGTTGTGAGTTTCCACCTTGAGGTTGAACTCTGGAAAAAGAACCTGCTCCACATTGCTCCAGTCCATGAGGAGTTCGGAGATTTCTCCAGTGGCAGCATCACTATCCAGCAAGCTCTCCCCCGATCTTTCATCGTCCGGGGATGGCACTGAGTTTGATTTCTCATCCTCCAAGGAAGGAGCACTGAGTAGAAGGTCACAGACTTTGGAGCTCCTGGTGGAGAATCTCGTCTGGAGTTGTGAAGAGCTGCTCTTCTGATACATCCGGCACAAGGTGACATCGAATTCCTCCTGGAAAAGAAACACACCCTCCGTGAAAACGAGGCCGAAAGACGAGGGATAAAAGAACTAACTTTGGCAATGGAATTTGGTTGATCAGTCCAGGGAAGCCTGAATTCGTTCATCACCCAGTTGGTCTTGTTTCCTTTGGGAGCTCGGCCTTGGTAGAAAACCAGAGTCTTCTTCTTGCCAATACATTTGCCTCTGAAATCGGAGACTTTATGATCGGTTCCAGTGGCTTTCCAGTAGCCGGATCTTGCCACTCGCCTGGGACGCGATCCATCGGGATACTTGCGGTCTCTCGGCACGAAGAAGTAGAACACCTTGGTGTTCTCGCTTGGAATCATATCTAGAAGAAACCAAAGCAGCCTTGAGAATGAGAACCAAGAACATTGCGTATAAACAGAGATACCAGAGAGCTCCCATGGATCGTGATGATAAAAGTCCACATCTAAGATCACGCCCGGGGGGAGATTCAACTTGCCTCGGACCTTGCACTCGAGATAGAAACTGACAAGCTCCTCCTCGGTGGGATTGAATCGAAAGCCGGGAAGATTGAAGTAACAGGAATCGGAAGAAGGCCGCATAGCTTTAGCTCCCTATCTTTGCGGTTTTTTTGTTTTGAATTTCTTCCAAGGGAGTTGGGTATTTAGCCATGGAGTTCTCTTTCTACGAAGACCACTTTTTTGTCCGTGTCCCGAACGCGGATTGGAGACGTCCCTCGCAGCTCCGCTATGGTACTCTAAATCTTGAGAAAAATCAAGAAAAAGAAAAAGAGAAAGACCAGAGTCTTTGGCTGTACAAAAGACTTTTACTAGGGTGTTTTAGGGTTGATGCTTGTGCCGTCTAGACCCGGGGGACTGTCCAGGGCGCGCGTCACAAATATCTAAAGCCATGCATCTGGCATTTAAGAGAGGAATTTAGTTGCTAGAACTTTGTACTGCAAGATTAAGATATAAAAAACTCTCGTGCGACAACCAACACTAGTGGATTCCTGGGCATGATTACTGAGAATTTACTTGTATTGACTTATATCTTTGTTGCGAGCGAAGCTTTCAGGTGGCTCCTTGCTAGCAGGAACAGGGCTGTAGGGCCTGACCGAGCTCCTGGACTGGCGACCATAGTGATAGAAAACAAAAACGAAGAAAAATACGTACTTGGTTCTTGGATCCATTGTCCTTGCAGGCATAATACTATTCTTTACAAGAGTAGGACTCTTCCAGTCCACACAAAAGCATGTCTCACGCTGATAAGACTAAAATAGTTTCCTGTCCAGCCTTTGCTTGATTTGATGAGCTTTCTTATTGCAAAGATGTTTTACATTGACCCGAGTGAATGATAATCCACTGGAAGAAAATCGGCTTCAACGAAAAGCGTGCTCGATTGTTTGATTTCAGCCACAACCTATTGTATCATATCATATGATAATCTGTGAGTTCACAACGGATTAAAAACTAAAAATGTTTCACCTCTTTATAAGAAGGATGACCATAGAAGTTCTTCACGGCAGATTCTATGAATTGAACAAGAAAGTCAATTTAAACAACGGTAATGCAATGAGAAGTCTTGGATCATACCTGAGGCCAAACGAGCGACAAAAGAATGGGAAAACACAAGATAATCGGGGCGGATCTTGATGTTAGAGCCTAGTTTCTCAAAGAGCGCGAAATTAGTTTCTATTCTCTTGAGGAAGAATGAATTACGTACCAGATGTTACTTGTAATACGGTGGAGGGCATCGCATTAGCTAGATTTTTGAGTTTCGAGATCAAAGATTGAGTTTCGTTTTGCATGACATTCGCTTTGAGCTTGAAGAAACAGACGTGGACGACCTCGCCTTTAAACTTCTGCTTGGTACAAACAAAGAAACAAATAAAAAGAGCTTCCTTTCTAGACAGAATAGAGACTCTTCCCACATACCTCTGCAGGATCCGCATGCTCGAGAGGCGAACTGTAATCAACTGAATCCTCACCCTGAATATCCGATGAGAATCAAACAGATAAACAAAAACAAGATACCTTGAGAAACGGTATCATCGGCTGAATGGCGGTCTGGAAGAAATCGCTAGTGTAGTAGTTTTCCAAAGCTTGAGTGGTGAGAAAGCGAGAAAAGAGACCATGCGTGTAGCCATTCCCGGGCCTCAAAAGCCGACCTTTTTCAAAGCATTTGATTCAGGGAAGAAAATATAAGATAACAAGGGAGATACCAGTTAAAAGGTGATGTTGTGGAGCACCCCGTGCTCTTCAAGATGCCTGGCCTTGCAAGGGATCCAAAAAGCGAGGCTTTGATTCTCAACAATCTCAACAGCCTTGGCACCATTCCAACCTCAAAGGACGAAGAAATAAGAGCTGCAAAGAATAAAATCGTTATAGTATTGTTTGCAAACATCCAAGAATAATCGAACAAATGGCCTTACTGGAGAGGGAAAGTAGTACCAGTAGGATTTGAGAGGAACGCTCCATTCCCTTTCGCACGGACGTCTATTCCTAATTTTCTCCCAATCCAGGCTATAAAAACAACTCCCTCGCCCTAACTCGGTGCTGGAAGTTTATTTTGATGTCACCCGTCGTTGCCACTTTGAGGAGCAGCCACGACGCAATAAAAGACAAATCTATTTTTTAAAAATAATTTCCTATCATCGATACAGTTACTTCCTTCGGATATAACTTGCAGTGATGAACATAAATATAGAGAAATAGGAACAAAAAAAGAACGAGAAATAAAGATGGAAAAACTGGATCGCTACTCTGTCCACTCCGCGCCAGTCATCTTAACGAAGAATGACAATCGATCGGCAGCCTCGTCAATCTGTGGAGTTGGATCGAAACGAAAAAGTTAGCTTCGAAAGGAGGAGAAGGAAGAACGCGTACCATTTTCTTGGTGGGACGGCCAGCTCCATGCCCGGCCTTTGTGTCGATGCGAGCTACGATTGGATTCGTCTGGTTGCTTGATTTGGAGGATTTGATGAGTACATGCTGCAATGTCTGTGGACTCAATGGTTAGAACTTGGAAGCGCAGAAAAACTTCAACGTACTGCAAGGAGTTTTAGAGTGTGGAGTGGCACAACTCGATCGTCATGGTCTGCGGTTAAGAGCATCGTTGGTGGATACTGAACACCAAGGCCATCAGGCTTCTCCCAGGGTCTCGAAACGTTATGAAGAGGAGAGTATCTAGAATTTGCAAAGAGAGAGCAGTGAGTTCTAGTAGAGTGAGAATGAGGGAGGAGCTTACTTGATCAACCACTTGAACTCCTCTTCTTTCTCAGAGCAGCCATAGTCCGTTGTCCAGGCATGACCTGCGAATCAAGAGAGTAAGACACGTCCGATGCGCGAGAGAAACTAAAGGAGCTCACCGATTGTAAACTTGTGGAACCTTAGCATGTCCATAACACCTACATGAGCAAGAGCACATCCATAGAGATCAGGCCTCTGCAAACAGTAGGGAGTTTTAGCTCGCAAATTTGATTAAAAGAAAAGGTAGACCTGGTTGATGCATGCCGCTACAAGAAGGCCACCATTGCTTCCTCCCTCGATACCAAGCTTTCTTGGTTGAGTGTAGCCTTCTTTGATCAAATACTCGGAGCATGCTTGGAAATCGTCAAAACAATTCTGCTTGTTGCCAAGAGAACCAGCTCTGTGCCACTCTTCGCCGTATTCACCACCACCTCTGATGTTAGCAATCGCGAAAATGACCCCGCAGTGCTGAATAAGAACTATCCTTGAAGCACTGAAGTACGGGGTTATGCTGATGTTAAAACCTCCATAGCCATATAGCAATGCCGGATGTTTGCCATCGAGCGCAATACTTTTCCTGGCAACAATAAACATGGGAACTTTTGTACCGTCTTTGCTGGGGACGAATACCTGCAAAACAAGCGTCAGAGATTTTTTCCTGAGTAGTTAAGATTTTACCTGTTTCGTCTCAAATCTGGTTCTGTCGAAACCTTTCACACTGGTTTCTTTGAAAACGGTAAGCTCCGAGTCCTCCGATAAGTCACAGCGATAGATGACCCCAGGCGTAAGGAAGCTTGTGAAACCATAGAAGATCTCCGCATCTTTTCTTCGTCCAGAAATCCCTGAAACCGTTCCAATATCCAGAGGAAGAGTTCTCAATAACGTGCCATGTTCCAAGTCGCGAACCTCAAGCACATGCTTTACGTCGCTGAGATACGATACTACCAATTGCTGGTGGTTCACGCACTGCGCTGAGTCCAAAACATCCTTCGCTGACTCGGCAATAATGTCTGTCCATGTTTCCGGATTCCTGGTGTCCACCCGCGTTACTTTGTATCGTGGCGCATTTTTGTTTGTCCGAAATGTGAAGACATTGCCGTCGTTCGCAATCACCTCATACTTTGCGTCAAACTTATCCACAAGCCTCTCAAACGGTAGCAACTCATCCTTGCCTTTCCATCCCTGTAGTCCATTTGGCAGTGAGTCGAGTTCACAAAGATAAAGCCTGTTTACGGGATCGCATCCTTCTTCGATCGAAAGCACAAGGTACTGAAAAAATAAAAAACGGAGAAGAAAATAAAAACCAAACGAAGAGCAAAAAAAAAACACCTCTCACCTTGCCATCATCAGTAACTTCAGCTCCAAACATCCACTTGGGATTGTCAGAGTCTTTCCAGCACAATATGTCTTCCGATTGATCAGTTCCTAGAAAGTGATAGTAAACCTGCTGAGAAAGATTAAGATCTGTTTCAGTTCCAGCATCCGCATCCTTTCTGCAAAACTCGCACATTTAAGACCAATTGCAAGAAAATCCATCGACTTAAAACTTACACGGGAGTAGGATATCGACAATAGAAGAAACCTTTATGATCATGTGTCCAGGCAATACTTGAAAACTTGACCTGGATATACAAACAATTAGACTGGAAGTTGTCACGAGAAGCAAAAGCTCAATTTACCCAGCACAATACGTCAGGCTCGAGAGCCTTAGTAGCAACACGAAGAACCTTGATGGTAACCCAGTCACTACCACTGGCACTCAAACCAAAAGCTAGAAATTCCGCATTTTCACTGAAGGAATAGACTGATAGCGCCACAGTTCCATCCTCGCTAAGTTCATTAGGATCAAGAATAACCTCCGCTTCACCATCCAAGGTATCCTGCGGCACGAAAACTTAAAAACCGGCATACCAAATGATTTCCAAACTACCTGTGCGTACAACACGCTTTGTGGCTGTAGGCCTTTGTTGTGAAAGTAGAAGTATTTGTCTCCCCTTTTGAACGGGCACTCAAACTTGGGGTAGTCGAAGAGCTCGGTGATCTTGTTGTTCATTTTCTGCCGAACATCACAGGACTGCAAAACCGTGTCCGTGAGTTTCACTTGCTCGGCTACGAAAGCTTTCACTTCCTCCGCGTCTGGATCCTCCAGCCTGAAAGGAAAGAAGAAAAAAAACTGATAAAAGGAAATGGCCAAGAGACAAGAGTACCATCGGTAAGGATCAGCAACACGAACTCCATGGTAATCATCAGCGACGGATTCATCGCGACGAACATCCGGGTAGAACAGCACATCCGTCTCTGCGAGTGATCCCATAGTTCCAACACTCCTGGTGCACAACGCCGGCTTGTTTGACCGAGGCCTTGAGAACAGAGGCTTCAATCCGGAGTGGAAATTCCTCGACACCAATCTGGAAGGAATAGAGATCGGAATCGTCCTGGTGAGAAGGCTCAGCTTGTGCATTCTATGAATCTAGTCAGGAAAAGAAAGAAGAACACCAATCAGGCTTAGAGCACACTCCAGTGAGAAAGAAAAGGACACAAATCCAGAATGTAGGACACTGCTACCACACAAAGAGAACTACAAAAAAAGGATCCAGACAGCGAACACCAGAAAGCTGCCAGAATCTAAAATATGATGAAATTTCCAGACCGGAATCGGACAAGCAGGATCCCAGACCTGGAGAAGAGTCGCGCCGCCAGCCAGCGCCTCGATCGATCGATCCGTGCTACTGCGCGCACAAAACCCTAGGCCCCTCTTTCAATCTAATGCGGCCTTCACATTCCCATGACTGAACGGCCAGGCCACTTTATATAGGAGCGCCCATTCCTCTTGGCCAGTGTACGACAGCTCCAGCATTACGGGGCGGAAAGTCCAGGAGATGGACTGCCACCAGCATCTGGGCGTTACAAGCCACGGACGGCCGGGATTCGTAACGAGAAAACGATAGCAACACTCCGGGATGTTGGGAGTAGAATACAACTCCTGTGCTTCGTCTTATCGTCACTGTGGTTTTTTTAACTCTTCGTGCTCTGGATGCCAAATTCCACCAAAGCGTTCCACGAGGAGAGAGCTTTTTAAAGTAGAGAATGGCTCCATTTGTGTGGAGAGTGTGTAGTCACTGATAGCGATCGTCACAAACTCGAGAGAATTGGATGTTGTCATGGGTGTCGACACTTTGGTTCCTTTATGTCGACACCCTTGTTACTTCCAATGCGTGCTTAACATGATCTTAGTGCGAATTCCACCACCAAAGTCTTCGAGCTTGTCCCGGTAAAATTCCACCCGGACTAAGAGAGTGGTGTCTCTTTAGAGTGATTTCTTCGTACGGGTTAAGTCCTGCCGATTCTGCGAGAATTGTCTTCGAGTAAAGTATGTAATGCTTACCTCATCTTCCGTGCACGACGAGAGGAGAAACTAGATTGCCTTCGTTTTTGAGAACTTCCTCTTGCTAGATTTGGTTTACGATCTCCAAGGATGGATGCTGTCGCCGCGTCTAGTTTTTGCTGCAAGGAGCTCAAAAGGCTGGCTT